ACAGACTGCGCTCTGGCACCACGAGATGCAGAGCCAACCTTCAGAAAGGGCACAAAGTGGAATCCACGACATGTGAGTGCAGAGAAGAGCAAACCACTGACCACCTGCTGCAATGCACCCTGAGCCCTGCCACATGCACAATGGAGGACCTCCTTGCGGCAACACCAGAGGCACTCCAAGTGGCCAGATACTGGTCAAAGGACATTTAACCAACTACCAAGTTTGCAAAATCTGTGTGGTTTTTTTCTTTTTCTTTTTAATCTGTGTTTGTTTTGTTCTGTTAGAATTGTAATACAATGGTATGGTTGCTGATGAACACGATAAATAAATAAATCTGTGGAATGACCAGGGTGGGACAAACGACTCTTGTCTGCTGGAGCTAGGTGTGAATGTTTCAACTGACCACTTTAATTAGCATATAATGGCCTGACATTGCCTAGAGCAATAGTTGTGCATGCAAAGATTTGTGCTATGCGAGCCTGATCTCAGATATGAGCTTGCAGGTCATATTATTCTATTATGTTGTTATTATATCTCAACTGGAACGATTCCATCAGTGTTGCCTCCGAAAAATCCTACAAATCTCTTGGGAAGACAGGCAAATGTCAGCGTTTGGGAAGAAGCAAAGACCACCAGCACTGAAGTGATGCTCCTCCGCCATCAACTCCACTGGACTGGCCACATTGTCTGAATGCCCGATCACCATTTCCAAAAGCAAATTACTATACTCCCAACTCAAGAACAGGAAACAGAATGTTGGTGGACAGGAAAAGAGATTTAAAGATTGACTTGAAGCCTGAAAAACTGTGGCACAGACATCGAGAACTGGGAAACCCTGCTACTTGAGCACTCTTAACGGGAGGTCAGCTGTGACCAGCAGTGCTGCAGAATTAGAAGAGGCATGAATGGAGGGCGAAAGGGAGAAATGTGCCAAGAGGAAGACTCGTCAAGCCAACCCTGACTGGGACCCACCTTCCACTTGGAAACTTATGTCTCCATTGTGGAAGAACATGTGGATCAAGAATAGGTCTCTACAACCACCTACAGACCTACCACTAAGGCACTACCCTTGGAGGGCCATCATGCTCGGGCTATGAGGGATTGTCTAAGTATATTACAACTCTATTATTCTATGATTTTAGGTGGTAAAATTCACATATCTGTGGAGGATACATTTCCTGCTGAACTGCAACTACCCAAAGTGTAGATATGCTGAAATGCCATTCAACTGATTCTCCTTCAATCCCAGCGTACTATGACCGGGCTGTGGCACAGCTAGTTAGTAGCCAGCTGCATTAAATCACTATTGATTGAGAGGTCATGAGTTTGAAGCCAGCCCTGGTCGGATTAAGCTCCTGACCATTAATAGTCTAGCTTGGTGTTGACCTATGCAGCCTGAAATACAGTTGCCTCTGCCAAGTAGGAAATTTGGGTACCGCTTTATGCTAGGAGGCTATTTTAACTCATTTACAATGCCATAAAACCTTCAAGTATTGTGCAGAAGAATGAGGAAGTATGCCATCAAAGGACTTGGTGTCACAAGTGGACAGTAAAGTAGCAGCTCACCCTGTGGCCAGAATTGAGCATAGCCTCATGAAGCCAGAAAAGCTGGAATATTAAATTGCCTCTGTGTCTGCTGTCTATATAGATATTGTATGTCTAAATGGCATTGAATGTTTGCCATGTATATGTGCATTGTAATCTGCCCTGAGTCCTCTGCGGGGTGAGAATGGAATATAAATACTTACAGGGAGCAGTCAACCCAGCTCCACTGGCTGTTCATTTTCTGGTCCCAATTCAAGGTGCAGGTTCTTACCTACAAAGCCCTGAACGGTTTGGGACCCACCTACCTGCGTGACTGCAATTCTCTGTACGAACCCACACGATCTCTTCGATCATCTGGTGAGGCCCTGCTCACGATCCCACCTCCTTTGCAGGTGCGATTGGTGGGGACGAGGGAGAGGGCCTTCTCGGTGATGGCCCCCCGACTCTGGAATTCACTGCCTAAGGACATCAGACATGCCCCATCACTGGCAGTCTTTAGGAGGAGCCTGAAAACGTGGTTGTTCCAGTGTGCCTTCCCAGAATAAGGATAACTCTTAGCAATATGTCCTGAAACACACTTTAATTTTGACTTAGGATTTTCTGCGCGCCCTCATCCTTCCTTGAAAATCCTATCCTAATTTGCTTCTTCCTCTTTATACCTTTCCCACCACGTGCCACTCCTTCCCTTTTGTTGACCATGGCGTATGTTCTGTATCAGAAACTAGAGCTGATGTGGTCTATCCAATGCCATTTTCTGAATCAGCACCCCAAACTGAATCTAAAGTTGACTGAAAACTGCAATACAGTCCCTGGTATACAAGTGGTCCGGGAACTGCTCTGGGAGAGTGTTACAGTCTCCAAACAGTGTACAATGTTCCCTCACTACTTCGCAGTTCGCTTTTAACAGACTTGCTGTTTCAGTTTTCAAAAAATATTAATTTAAAATATATATCGCTGTATTTTCGCTGTTCCGCGGGTTTTTGCCGCCGCCACTCTCCGAGCCGCTTTCCCTCCTCAGTCCTCCCTCCCTCTAGCCTTGAAGTGCCTTTCCATCACTTTATTTTAGGTTTATAAAGACTTAAAATAGTGTATAACTACTAAAATAATGTAGATATATCAAAATATAGTGTCCCTACATTGCGGTTTTTCACTTACTGCGGGAGGTCCTGGAATATAACCCGTGCAATAAGTGAGGGAACATTGTATGGGAGCCAGGTACATTACAGCCCTTATTTTTTTTTGGCCCTGTGTGTGAGTCAGGCAACCAGTGTGACCAGACAACTTCTGTACAGTATATAATGTGTTTTTTTTGGTTCAACAATAAATGTGAATTCTTCTTCGTTGAAAAATAAGACATTCCCTGAAAATAAGACCTAGTGCATTGGGTTGTTGTAGGTTTTTTCGGGCTATATGGCCGTGGGGTTCCAGGCTCAGTGATGAGTCCAGGATCACTCCCAAGCTGCGAACCTGCGACTTCAGGGGGAGTGTAACCCTGTCCAGTACAGGCTGTAACCCTATACCCTGTTCGGCCTTACGACTAACCAGTAGGACCTCTGTCTTGTCTGGATTCAGTTTCAATTTGTTAGCTCTCATCCAGTCCGACACAGCAGCTAGACACCGATTCAAGGTCTGGACAGCCTCCTTGGTGACAGGTGAGAAGGAGTGACAGATCTGAACATCATCCACGTAGAGATAACATTTCAGTCCGAAACTCCGAATGATCTCCCCCAGCGGCTTCCAGCGAGACCTAGTGCATGTTTGGGACCAAAAATTCATATAAGACACTGTCTTGTTTTCAGAGAAACAGGGTATGTATAAAGTGACTCCTACGTAGCTTGTAGTTTCATTTCAATAGTTTTATTTTAAAAAATTAAAGACCTCCATGGCACAACTTCTTTCTCAGCACAGTTTTAAGGGTTAGTTTGAACAATTACAATACCATCACAACCAATAAATCCAACAGGGAAAAAGAACCAATCCCTCTTTCTCTTTCTCTCTAAATTCCAACCAATGAAAACAAAAAAGCATCACTCCAAACAAGATTTTTTTTGTTAAAAAAACCAATTTGTTAAAAAAAAAAACTTCTTAAAAGTTGCCAACAGTACTATTGAATTGGCGTTTTATTTTCCTGCCCATCTAACACAATGCAGAAAAAAAAAAACACCCCAGGAAGTGCTGAGAAATTTAAAAATAAAAGTCCGGATACAAGGTATACAGATGAGGTAATTTACAACACAGATGTTGTTACAATCTGCAATTTCCTCGTGCCTCCACCCCTTCAGTTTCGCTCCTTGCTCCGGCAGCAAAAACTGGCATTAGCACAAAGGAAAAATTGGATCGTCCCCTGAACCAGAAAAATAAAGGCTTCCAGTCTTACCCTCTCGGTTTAAGGTTTGGTGGCTACTGGGATTTCACGCCTTCCTCGGCTCTCAGGAGGACTCCAGCCGGCATCCTTCAATCCGGGTTTAAGCATCTGGATCCACTTTCCCCCCGATTTGCCAAAACATTTTAAATTAAAAGAACAAAGAAAGACAACAGACAACAGGAGGGAAACACACCTGCTTGAAAAAGCCCGCGTAGGTCGGTTCCACTCTCGTGCAAACACAATTATGACTGTGTTGCACTTTGCACAACTAACTTTGCACTTTGCACCGTCGGTATGACCCAGCTTTGACCTGAACTTGAATGGACCATGGCTACCCACCACCAGGAGCTCCCCGCTCAAGAATAAAGCTACTATTGCATGCACCTCCCTCCCACCCCTTCTCCGATTTGTTCTTTGCTCTTCATTAGGACAGACCCTCCGCGGCGACCCAACCCCGCAGAAAACCGAAAACGACAAAAAAACCCAGAGAAAGTGTCAATGGAACAAGAAAGGGGCACCCCGACGCCCAAAGTTGCATATATTATTTAGGAACGAAGCGATCGAGGCTCCCGAGACAAAGCGGCGAGGCTTCCCCCAGGCAACGAATAGGCCTCTGTAGTGGTTGCGGAAGGAAGAGGAGGAGGTAAGTCCTGGAGAAGAAGTGGTGGCATCCGTCTTCTTTCAGTCTCTGAATTCGGTGGCTTCTATCCACCCGGAAGAGTTTTCCGTCCCCACCCCAAAATCCCACTGTGCCTACTATGAGAGGAGAGAAATGTACACTGCAGACCCTCCTCGGTTGGTGGGTTTCCCTCGTTTGTTCCAGGCAACGCTTTGGCTTGTGAGATGCTTCTCTGTAAGGCTTCGGAACGCTGCTCGCTACTAGAACCCCAGTCTGAGCAAGGTGCAAAAAACTCAAGGAAAAGCAGCCTGAACCCCACCCCACCCTCCGAGCCCTGGTTTGTGGTTTGTATTGAGGCTGTGATGGTGTGTAAGAAGTATGACACTGGCCTGAAGAGGGGGGTGGGACGGGGGGGACGGGACGACTTCTGCACAGACAGCTCGATCCCTAACCTTGACATCTTAAATTAAAAAAAGGGAAACAAAACAGTTTTATTTACAGTGTAGGAATTCCAACACTGAATATTTCAGCATAGGAGGCGAAAGGTGTGTGTATGTGTGTGTATATATTTATGTACACACACACAAATATATATGGATATATATATCTACACACATACACACCCATACTTGCATACTCATGCACACAACATACTCTCACACATAGAAGGATAAGCAGAGCTGGGGTTTCTTACAGATCTACCATTTTGGGTGTTGCGCTATCCTTCCATGCCTCTATTTACCGAACTTTTAAAAATACCAGACACAACGTGTCTTCTCAACACATGGCACACATGGAGTCAGTAGTTGGATGCGTTGCTTAATGGGCCCAACCATCGCTCCGCACATTCCAACTTGGAAAGAAGCAACTCGCATTTTTACAGGGAGATATACCCAGTGATAAGTTCCATTTCCCAAATGCCAAACCAAGGAGACTCCGATGGATGGGAGGAGAGGGGCGACATACGGGACCGATGTTGTTCGCCCGCTGCCAGAACACCTTTGACGGAAACAAGTGGGCTTGGAGAGAAACCTGGAGACTCCAAATTAAGGACACATGCAAAGTAGGAAAAGAGTTTGTGATCCAGGAGGTTCACACAGGAAGACATGATCCCCTACAGGAAAGCTACCACCTTGCAGGCCCTCGCTGTTGAGAAAGCTTCTATACGCTCATCCCGTTCCGTCCATCAGGCCAGACGTTCAAGTCAAAGACCCTCAAAGAAATGGAACTCGGCAGACCCGATAACAGCCGAAGGGGGGACGGAAGAGCCCCTGTATGCTCCCCCACTCATCCCCAAAGAGATGGCACACGAAGCGAGCGACTCATCGAGAGACAAGCCAGTCTAACCGCGGACCTTTACTGGCAAAATGGTGCTGGTGAGGAAGGTGGGGAAGAACCATCTGCAGAACACTCTTGTCTGTGGGGGTGGTATTCTCCCCCCCAAAGATTCCTCTGAGTTACAAAAAGTTCAAGTAAAAAAAAAGGGGGGAAGGGGGAAAATTCAGCCCATATATTTCTTTTTATGACCAAACTACTATAAATCCACAAGCAACTTGTTCAGACATAGTTCCTTCTGAAGCATTCCAACACGCATCCCCTTCTCCGTTCCCGCAACACTGCCGGCCGCAGGAGGCTGCCGTTGTCCCGGGCGAAAAAGGGTGGAGGAGGGAGGTCAGCCCCAATGTGGCTCCGCTCAGGCACCGGGGAGATGGGAGGCCGCCCTTCACTGCTGAGCTCCCGCGGCCGCTGGAACGGGCATCCCTAAGGGGTTGGCGGCAGCAATCACAGGAGAGCCCGCTAGAGGTCCAAGAGGGGAAGACGTTGGCACTGAAGAGATCCCTGGAGAAAGAGGCGGGAAAGAGAGGAAGGAAATGACATATTTCAATCCTTGCCGACCGCTTCCCAAGACTCAAGGCAGGGTCTAGCATAGTATTAAAATAGAATAGACAACCAAAAACATAAACCCCATATTGCATTGCTAAAGGCTTGTCATAGAATCACACAGTTGGAAGAGACCCCAAGGGCCACAGAGTCCAACACCTTGCCATGCAGGAACACACAACCAAAGCACTCCTGACAGATGGCCATTCGGCCTCTGCTTAAAGACCTCCAAGGAAGGAGACTCCGCCTCATTCCAAGGAGTCATATTCTGTCAGAAATTCCAGTCACTTCCAGTCACTTCAAGGATGCCATCCATCCATCTTGCCCTTGGGCGGCCCCTCTTCCCTTTTCCTTCCATTTCCCCCAGCATAATTGTCTTCTCTAAGCTTTCCTTTCTTCTCAGGTATTTTTAATTACAAAAATGTGATTAAAGCACTTATTGACTTTGGAGCTTCATGGCTAATCAGTGCTATTCAAGCTTGCTAACTGCAACATTGACACTTATTTCACACAGACAAAGCTTCTTTCTCCCACTTCAAACATTCCACAGATATATATATATATATACACACACACACGCACGCACGTACACCACTTGCCTCACCTCCAACAGACCTCTGAAGGTGCCAGCCACAGATGAAGGCAAAACATCAGGAGAGAATGCTACTGGGACATGGCCATACAGTCCAAAAAACTCACAACAATAAGGTCCAAGAGTAACGAATGGCTTACTTACCTGACAACATACTGGCGCTGCTGACAGGGGTGCTGCTACTGGGCATGCTGGCTGAGCCCATCCGCGCCTGGTCCTTCACTATGGGGTCTGCCAATGCATAAAACAACAGAGACAACATGCTCGGATTAAAGAAGGAGTAGATGCATAGTGAATTAGGATGAAAATCCTGCACTGAGTCCATATATTCTAAAGTGACAAACCTTTAGACCTTAAGGCTGTAAAGGAGAGCTTAAATAGTCAGACTGCAGAATAAAATTGAGAGGGTAAGAGGCAAAATCTCTGTCCAGCTACAAACACACACATCTAACCACCAGAATGCCCAAACATTAGAATAATAGTATCCTAGAGGGTCTCCAACCCACTTTTGCCATGCAGAAATACACAATCCAAGTCGTCCGAGAGCTGGGCATCTAGCCAAAGACAGCAAATCCATGCTGCATAAATCTGACTGCAGAGTCATACTGGAAGAAATCTACAAATGCAGAAGGACAACTATACCCTAATCTCATTTGACTCCACTGTTTTTGGAATACTGTATTTGAGACCCGTCTGTAGGACCAACCACAAACCACCACCAGCACTATTAGTGCTTCTCTTCCAAGAAGGTCAGACTCACAGAAGTAAGGATGCTCCATGGCTTCTCTTGCTGTGAGACGGGATTGGTGATCGTATCTCAGCAACTTGTCTAAGAAATCCAGTGCTTCGGGGCTCACCAACTGCTGATTCTCACCATGAACAAAGCGCTCCCATCGTTTGCGCGAGTGTCTGTGAGGGAAGAAGACAGGTTCCTGAACTCACAATGGTATCTTAAAACTGAGGTGCAGGAGCATTATATCTAGCTCAAAGAAAGGTCGCCGGCCATCTCTGCAACTTTGCATGGCTCAGCATAACATGGTAGCTCTGCATGTAGAACTATTCTTTGCTGGACCATTTGCTACTCAATGGAATAGAACAACTGAAGCCTCCTCCTCCAGCCATTTAGCCCCTGGTGAAACATGGAGCAGATCCCAGAAACTATGTCCCAGTACCCAGATACAAAATGATTACACTGAAGTCTGCTGGGGTCCTCCAGAAGTCTCCATGGCTGATGCAATTATTTTAAGCCTGGTTATGGCAGTAACACAGCCAGGTGCTTCTGTGATTCCTCCCCTCCACAAACATACATCTTAATTTCCCACCAGGCAACAGGATGACCATGGAGAGATCTCTATAGGCTCTATGGCAGACCTACAAAGTACTAAGTGATTACAGCAGTAGACTTCAGTATTCTCTCACCTGCCTAAGATGTCATTGAAACGGGGATCAAGCTCAATGTTGTATTTGTCAATATAGTCATACAGGTCTTCTGTCCCCAGCACTTTGGCTATTCTCACCAACTGTGAAAAGAGAACATAACATAGCACAGAATTATGGGGTGCCTAAGGGGCTGAACTAAGAATCACTCGCTGGGAACAATATTACTCAACTCATGAAATGACCATAAAGCTTTAAGCGACCTACAGAACTCCCTTAAGTGATCAAACCGGGAACCTATGCAATATTACTCAACTCATGAAATGACCACAAAGCCTTAAGCAGAACTCCCCTAAACAATCAAACCAGTCTTCTGTACCCACAGATAATGCATCCAAGGCTTGAAAATATTTAAAAAGAAATCCAAAAAATCAAACCTTGATTTTACATAAGGGATGCTATTTCAGCATGCCATTGAATGTAATGGGACATCTGTTAGGCGAGTGGGCTTATTAACAAAAGACCCTCCTCATAAAAGTACAGCGGAATAACTTATTAGCTACTGATCCTGCATGACCCAGGACCAGTAGCCCAAAGTGATAAAAGGAACAAAAACACAGAGACCAATGTTATCTCTTCCATTTGAGGCTTTTCTTCACAGCGAAATAATATTGTTGCACTATTTACAAAAACAAGGTATCCACAACACAAATAAAGTTCAACCTTTACATTGGAGATACACACGCAAGGCCTTCTCATACCAAGGCCTACCTCACACTCAGGCCTAATAACAATGAGGCCTGTTCTCCCACTGAGGTGTTCTCTCACACAGAGAGGCTTCTCTCACACTGGGAGCTCTCTCAGACGGAGGTGTTACTAAGCAATAGGCATGCCTGCTTATATTGAACCGCAGCTTCTCTGAATCACTACATCCATTTAACCCTTTTAGTGCTTGATTCAGATTTTTGTAATGAAAAATAATATTTCTGATGCTATTTCAGTATGCCATTGTATGCAATGGGACATCTTTGACATCTACAGATTTTGGTATTCATGGGTTACCAGGAACTAAATTCCAGTGGATACCAAAATTCCACTGAATATGCAACATAATACTGATGCAACTCTGAATTACATCCAGTGTTTAAGTCAGGGGTCCTCAAACTTTTTAAACAGAGGGCCAGGTCACAGTACCTCAAACTGTTGGAGGGCCAGATTATAATTTGAAAAAAACATGAATGAATTCCTATGCACACTGCACATACTTTATTTGTAGTGCAAAAAAATCCACTTAAAAACAATACAATTATTACAATGGAGAACCATTTTAACAAATTGAGGAGGGAGCAAGCTTGTTTTCTGCTTCCCTGGAGACTAGGACGCAATGGAGCAATGGCTTCAAACGACAAGAGAGGAGATTCCATCTGAACATGAGGAAGAACTTCCTGACTGTGAGAGCCGTTCAGCAGTGGAACTCTCTGCCCCGGAGTGTGGTGGAGGCTCCTTCTTTGGAAGCTTTTAAACAGAGGCTGGATGGCCATCTGTCAGGGGTGATTTGAATGCAATATTCCTGCTTCTTGGCAGGGGGTTGGACTGGATGGCCCATGAGGTCTCTTCCAACTCTTTGATTCTATGAAATATAAACTTATTAATATTTCAATGGGAAATGTGGGCCTGCTTTTGGCTGATGAGATAGGATTGTTGTTGTTGTTGTGTGCTTTCAAGTTGTTTCAGACTTAGGTTGACCCTGAGCGAGGGCCAGGTAAATGACCTTGGAGGGCCGTATCCGGCCCCCAGGCCTTAGTTTGAGGACCCCTGGTTTAAGTGAAACACCATCTGGATCAAGACCATGATGGGCAAGAAGTGGATGTTTGACTCTCATCTCCCTTACAATGGTTAAAAAACACCCTGTAGTCCTCAAGCTGCTAACAGTAAATGGAGGACAGCAATTCGTATTTTTGTTCTATCACTACCACAGAGTTTTGTCTAAGATCACAAAGAGGGGGAAAAGTTACCTCACCCTCCACCATGCTACAGCTTTGACCTTTGGAGAAAGCAGTAAAATCTCCATGTGTGCTATTTGACCTGTGACAGTTTATTTATTTATTTATTTATTTATTTATTTATTTATTTCTGCTGCTTATACCCCGCCCTTCTCACCCCCGAGGGGGGACTCAGGGCGGCTTACAAAAAGAAGGCACAATTCGATGCCCTTATCCAAATACATACAAATATAAAACAATTACAATAGTTAAACAATTAACAGAACTCATATGTGCAAGTACCCACTCGATACTATTCTATTCCATGTGAACTCTTGGATTTTTAATCCTTCCACCCCTGCAAACACCAAAACTGTGCTGAACATACAGGCCATGGAAGAGTAAAGGCACTGTGTCCCCAATCATCTCACCTGATCGTAATTGTCATGACCATGGAAAAAAGGCTCCTTTCTGAAGATCATGCTGGCTAACATGCAACCCAAGCTCCACATGTCTAGACTGTAGTCATACATCTGTAAGAAAGCACAGCAAGGCCACCAGTCAGTCTCTTTTACAAGGTTTGCAAGAAAAAAACGATCATCATGTTTGCTCACTGTGCAGAAAACGGTAGCATAGGTGGCTAACAAGTACAATGTGACTTGTATACCCGTGTTTTCACCTGCCTTCAAAATAGCTAACGAACTACTCATCTCTAGGAATGTTCTAGGTCCTCCAGGCAATTGCATGCTATGCTTCCAACAGAAGTTATCATAGAATCACACTGGAGGACCTAGAAAATTCCCAAAGAAGATACCTAAGAATTTTCTAAGTCCTCCTGCAAGATTCTATGGTAAAGTCTCCCAAAGGTTGGTCATTTCAAAAAGTTCACTATTATTACCCATGGTTTCCAGATCCCATGGGAAGTTCAGAAATATACTCTCCACAGATACAGGATTATACTATAATATTTTCACAATTGTCATAAAAGGGAACCAATAGCTCTTACAGTACTTACTTTACTAATATTTATTTATTTATTTATCGTGTCAGGCAATCGAACAGTTGTATTACATTTTTGACAGAACAAACAAACAAACATACAAAAGACACAGAGTTTGCAAGCTTGGTAGTTGATTAAATGTCCTTTGACCAGTATCTGGCCACTTGGAGGGCCTCTGGTATTGCCGCAAGAAGGTCCTCCATTGTGCATGTGGCGGGGCTCAGGTTGCATTGCAGCAGGTTGTCAGTGGTTTGCTCCTCTCCACACTCACATGTCGTGGATTCCACTTTGTGGCCCCATTTCTTGAGGTTGGCTCTGCATCTCGTGGTGCCAAAGCGCAGTCTGTTCAGCGCCTTCCAAGTCGCCCAGTCTTCTGTGTGCCCAGGGGAGGAGTCTCTCATTTGGTATCAGCCATTGATTGAGGCTCTGGGTTTGAGCTTGCCACTTTTGGACTCTCGCTTGCTGAGGTGTTCCAGCGAGTGTCTCTGTAGATCTTAGAAAACTATTTCTAGATTTAAGTCGTTGACGTGCTGGCTGATACCCAAACAGGGGATGAGCTGGACATGTCTCTGCCTTGGTCCTTTCACTATTGCCTGCAACTTCCCGGCAGATGTCAGGTGGTGCAATACCGGCTAAGCAGTGTAATTTCTCCAGTGGTGTAGGGTGCAAACACCCCGTAATAATGAGGCATGTCGCATTAAGAGCCACATCCACTGTTTTAGTGTGGTGAGATGTGTTCCACACTGGGCATGTGTACTCAGCAGCAGAGTAGCATAGCGCAAGGGCAGATGTCTTCACTGGGTTGTGGTTTACTAATAATATAATATATTGTGTATACATATAATATTTATAATATTATAATGTAATACAATATAATACTAATAATAATACAATATTATAATTATATATTTATATTACATGTAATATTACAAATAATATTACAATATAATGGTATAGTGCAATATAGTAATATATAATACTGATATTGTACTATGCTAATAATATAATGTATGTATGTATGTATGTATGTATGTATGTATGTATGTATCTATCTATCTATCTATCTTGTAAGCCGCTCTGAGTCCCCTTCGGTGTCAGAAGGGTGGCATATAAATGTCGTAAATAAATAAATACAGGAAGAAATCTGAACAGAAAGGTGCTTCCCACAGCTGCAAGCAGCCATAGTCAGGTTATAAATATTCCATATTGGGTACAAGTATCTAAACTCTAAGCTCATCTCTTAATCCCACACCAAACTGAAAGATAGAGTAGTTAACCAAAGGGAGTCTAATGCAAAGGTATTTGAAATGCAGGTATATATAGAAGAGAAAGAGAAGACAGAAAATGTCCTTGTTCTTCTGAGAGGGGATCAAAAGTCAGGTATCTGAGTCTGCCAAATACCATGCCCTGGGCCAGCAGTCACATGAAAGACTGCAAACATCAGTCACTGCTAATGGTACTTTCTATCAGCAACAAAGCCAGCAGCTCTAAGGAGCATCCAGCATAAAGCAATGTCTTTGCATGACCCAATGGCAGACTCCCATCTGTTAGCCAGGTTTAAAGACAACTGGCTTCCTCAGCACACAGAAATATCCAAAAGTCTAGTAGCAGGTATTCTCTTCAGACCCACAATGGTAGAGACAAATACAATATACATGCCCAGTTCCAAAAAAAAAAAAATGTCTTTACCTAATGGTCATTGGCCCATTTTACTTTAAAAAAGCAGCTTCTCACTGCTCAAATGCAAGTTCCAACTCCAAACTAGTCACGAAAGGCTTTTTGTTGCAGACGATGGGAAAACAGGGCGAGATCAAACTGAGTGGAAGTGGGGCGACTGGATGGCTCGTGGGGCAGCTCTGAGAAACACCTGGGATTCTTTGGGAGGGACCCGAACAGATATGCACCAAAGAGAAAAAAAAAAAAAACTTGTTTGCCTCCTTGTTTCGAGGGCACAACACAGTGCTGATTCTCATTGTGGTTAAATTTTGCTATTCAATTGTTCCTTTTTAGTTTCAAGAAGAAACATTAGCAAAGCTGGTAAATTGCTAGCCAAATTAGTTTCTGCCCAAAGATGGAAAATGTAAAGAAATATTTGCAACTGAGGACTGGATATTGAAATTGTTTTGAGTTAGCGGAGATGGACAATTTATTTATTTATTTAGAGTACTTATATTCCACCCTTCTCACCCTGAAGGGGACTAAGGGCGGATCACAGAACACATATATAGCACACATTCAATGCCGATTATACAATGACAAGACAGACAACAGATACTGGTATATTTAGACGTTTTCTCAGCATTCGGCATCTTTGGAGGATGTACTTGGTTCTGGCCACAGGGAGGTACTGTTGCTCCATCTCCTTGCCAAAGAGCTTTCTCTTGTTCGCAAACTTTCCTCTGAAATGCTGTGCCTAAAATACCTCCCGCTTAATGCGGTTCCTATTCATCTACTCACATTGCTGTTTTCAATCTGCTAGGTGGGCAGGGAGCTGGGTTGAATGTCACGGAGCTCACCCCTGACCCAGCTTCAAACTATCAACCTTTTGGTTGGCAAAATTTACTGTAGCTGCAGCTGCTGATTAACCTGCTGCGCTAAAGTCGGCTCATTGATTATGTTAAAGAGAAAAATCCCTTTTACACTTCTTATAAGAATGGGAGCCTCTCCCTCAATTTATGCAGGAGATCAAAACAAGGTATTTACAGGTCTGGAGAACTAAGTTTGTATGTGTTTGAATATATGTGTATATAGAAACATATACACCAGTGGTTCTCAACCTGGGGTCCCCAGATGTTTTTGGCCTTCAACTCCCAGAAATCCTAACAGCTGGTAAACTGGCTGGGATTTCTGGGAGTTGTAGGCCAAAAACATCTGGGGACCCCAGGTTGAGAACCACTGATATAGACTAACATCAAGTGCTGAAGTAGGTTATATATCAGAATATAAGGAAGACAAATCAAATGCTCAACAGATGCCAATAAGGAAAAAGCTATTATATTTAGTGTATCATTAATGTATGTAAAGTCAGAATAATTATAAGCTAAATCAGTGGTTCTCAACATGTGGGTCCCCAGATGTTTTGGCTTTCAATTCCCCAAAATTCTAACAGCTGGTAAACTGGCTGGGATTTCCGGGAATTGTAGGCCAAATCACCTGGGGACCCACAGGTCGAGAACCACTGCAATAAATGTTAGGTTGAATTAGGTATAATATATGCTTGCATTTTATATGTACGTCTGGCAGGGATGAGAGACAAGGCTTTCTCAGTGGTGGCCCCTTGGCTATGGAACACCCTCCCTAGGGATATCAGATCGGCCCTCTCTCTTTTAACATTTCGGAAAAAAGTCAAGATTTGGCTTTTTGAGCAAGCATTTCCAAATTGAGAGTAACTGACATGGGAAAATGGAACGACTAGACGATGGGACCAGACAATGTTTTTAACAAGGAGACGCTAATGATTTATGTTTTGATTGATTTTGTTATGGTTTTTATTAAATGTTAATGTTTTTAATTGTATTTATGGTATTGGGCATTGAATTTTGCCCTGTAAGCCGCCTTGAGTGCTGACAAAGGCGGTATACAAATGCAGTAAATAATAATAATAATAAATAATAATGTACTCTGGCACAAACCAGTCAAGGTGTTCCCAGTGGTGATCGGCACACTGGGTGCAGTGCCTAAAGACCTTGGCCTGCACTTAAACACAATCGGTGCTGACAAAATTACCATCTGCCAGCTGCAGAAGGCCACCTTATTGGGATCTACACGCATTATTCACCAATATATAATACAGTCCTAGACACTTGGGAAGTGTCCAACGTGCGATCCAATACAACAGTCTGCTGTGGACTCATCTTGTTGTGTTTCAAATAATAATGTATAGCAGGATCTTTTTCTGAAGAAATTAGAAATTTAATATAATATGGATGTTTGCTAATTGTTCAGAGCTTTTAAGTGTGTGCATATAAAGTCACAATGAAAACAAGTAGCAAAATGGCTGGTTCCCATCCACCTCACTTTCCCATCACTCCAATCCTTCTGCAGAGAGACCACAGTTACCTGATAATCTACAAGGAGCTCTGGGCCTTTGAAGTATCTAGAAGCCACTCGGACGTTGTACTCTTGGCCGGGATGATAGAATTCAGCTAAACCCCAATCTATTAGCCGCAGCTAAATGCAGAAACAGGAGATAATAAAGAGAGAAAGGGGAACTTTTAGCCTTGGTATCCAACATCTAGGGACACTACAGCAACATGCAACAGTAAAGAATAGCATCAGGCATGAGTGGTAAGAATCCAATTAACAAGATTGAACTGAACAGAAAAGCAGAATGTAGCCAACCATGGCTGTCATTTAAAAAAGGAAACTGATGAAACTGCAACTAGACTATTGAAGACACATAAACACACAATTATTGTCAAGTGAATAGCTAGTCCCTGAAAACAAGAGGCAAGTTGCCAGGTAAAAATAAAATAATTCAAAGCAGCTAATAGGGATGACTCAACACCCAGAGGACAAATTAGACAAGCAGTGTACGGCAAAACCAATACAAAATGCAAGGAACAGAGTTAATGTCTATCAACTGCACTGACAGCTATTCTAAGCTGACGAACCAGGTATAATGAGCAAACAAACAACTTTTTTAGGAAAGTTATCTGCCATCTATCTTTCCTTGCATTAGAGATTTATTCTAGGGCTTGTTCAGTCCACACAGAATGGAAGTAAAGGTCTGAATGACCCTATGTTTATAAAATACCCTCCAATCTTAGCTTCAGCAGATCTTCTACAACAGATGCACAGATACAGAGGTAAAGGGAGGTAGCTCGGTGAGATTAGGAAGTTTAAAGGCAAAAGCCAAAATTAAGATGCTTCTAGAGAAGCAAAATATATGTACAGTGAGACCTCTAGATCTACACTACCGATATCCATAATTTCCAGTGATCGCAGATCATCACACTCCATATTAGCAAATGGCAGGAATGTGAAGCACCGGGATTGTGGCGCAGCTGGCTGAGTGTCAGCTGCATTAAGATCACTCTGACCAAAAGGTCATGAGTTTGAAGCCAGCCCGGGTTGGAGTGGGCTTCCAACCAATTGTGTAGCCTGTTGTCGACCTTTGCAACCCGAAAGACAGTTGCATCTGTCAAGTAGGAAAATTAGGTACCACCTTAAAGTGTGGGGAGGCTAAATTAACTAATTTATGAGGCCATAAAAAGACTCCAGCAAGCACTCCAGCAAAAGCATGCGGGAATGCGGAAGTACTTCATCAGTGTTGCAGATGGACGATGAAAGCGACAGCTCCCTTGGCGGCCAGAAAAAGTTAAATAGCCTCTGTCTATGTCTGTATATGTTTATGTCAAAAATTGGCATTGAATGTTTGCCATATATGTGTACACTGTAATCCGCCCTGAGTCCCCTGCGGGGTGAGAAGGGCGGAATATAAAAGCTGTAAATAATAAATAAATAAATATTCATGTTGCTGCCATTTAATAACATGGATCATGATAATCTGTATTTTTTTTTTTACATTTTCATATCCCTAAATCCAAATCTCCACAGAAATGGTGAGCCCACCGTACCAAGTTTCACTACTAGATTTCTTATCAAATTATTTTTTGCAAAACTTTTTGTCCACTTCTTTAACAGATAAGCCTGACTTCCATAACTAAAGCATGAGCCTACTAAAGTGTTAACAACGATCACATGCCAATGGGAAACAAAAGGGAGGAACCTGGCCAAGCTCACACAGACTTACCTTTCTGTGTTCATGGTCAATCATGACATTGTGGGGTTTGACATCTCTGTGCATGATGCCCATACTGTGACAATAATCCAGGGCCTGGAGTAGAGAAGGACACAGTCATGAAATACAGTCAGGGGCATCTGTGTTGCCTATCCAGGAAAATGAAGGAAAATACAAAATCCTCTAGAGCAGTGGTTCTCAACTTGGGGTCCCCAGATGTTTTTGACCTACAAATCACAGAAATCCCAGCCAGTTTACCAGCTGTTAGGATTTCTGGGAGTTGAAGGCCAAAACATCTGGGGCCCCAGGTTGAGAACCACTGCTCTAGAGAGCAATGACTTTTATTATGTGCAAAAACATCATGCAAACATTCAAAGCCCCACTCATTTCTTCATCAGGCAAAATATGTTAACACATGGACCATTGGGAAGAAAATAGGGAATTGATAATTCTTTTTCCACACCTAATATGACAGATTGTTTGTCTCTTTTTCAGAAACTCATCAGTATCTAGCAGCCAATGGCTCAAGGACCAGCTCCATTCTTGAGCAGCTCTGCTCTAAACCCCTGGCAAATTGCAAAGATCCCATTTTGTTCTATTTTTATCTCACATCTATTCTATTGAGAGTGCAAGATCTGGGTGGAAGGATAACAGTTTTGGCATCAAGGGCAGCAACTATCCGTTTGAGGCCTTTGCATTTCCCTTCAGGCATTAACCAAAGATGTATTAATATATTGGAGGAAAGTATTGGCAGGCATCAAGGAAATATTATCAGGTTAATAACAACAGTAATATCCCTGTAACTGCAGAACCCATATCCATCATTTCATTGACCAGGGCCTAAGGAATTTCCCAAGTCCTCTAGATCAATGATTCTCAACCTTCCAAAAGCCACGACCCCTTAATACAGTTCCTCATGTTGTGGTGACCCCCAACCATAAACTTATTTTTGTTGCTACTTCACAACTGTAATTTTGCTACTGTTATGAATCGTAATATAAATGTCTGATATGCAGGGTGTATGCAATCACTGGACCAAATTTGGCACAAATACTTTATACGCTCACATTTGAATACTGGTGGGGTTGGTATGGGGGGTACTGAGTTTGTAATTTGGGAGTTGTAGTTGTTGGGATTTATATTCACCTACAATCAAGGAGTATTCTGAACTCCACCAAACTTGAATTGAACCAAACTTGGCAAACAGAACTCCCATGGCCAACAGAAAATACTGGGTTTGGTGGCCACTGACCTTGAGTTTTGGAGTTGTAGTTCACCTACATCCAAAGAGCACTGTGGACTCAAACCATGATGGATTTGGACCAAACTTGGCACAGATACTCAGTATGCCCAAATGTGAACACTGGTTGAGTTTGCGGAAAATAAAGCTTGACATTTGGGAGTTGTAGTTGCTGGGATTTATAGTTCACCGACAATCAAAAAGCCCTTTGAACAATAGAACTGGGCCAAACTTCCCACACAGAACTCCCATGACCAATAGAACATATTGTGTTTATGGTCTTTGGTGACCCCTCTGACACCCCTTGTGACCCCCACAGGCTCTAGATGACCCTATGCAGTGGTTCTCAACCTGTGGGTCTCCAGGTGCTTTGGCCTACAACTCCCAGAAATCCCAGCCAGTTTACCAGCTGTTAGGATTCCTGGGAATTTAAGGCCAAAACATCAGGGGACCCACAGGTTGAGAACCACTGCTCTATGGTATTCTTTCCTAGGAAGTTACCACAGAGTTGTCTTGGAGGACATAGCGAATTATTGGAGAGGACACATCTCTAGGAATCTCAATGTTCACCTATGCAATTCTATGGCATTTAAGGACATTGGGGTTTATCTCTAGTTTCAGGTAACCGGAGTCTGGTTGGGAATGTATCCCTGGCAGATACAGAACTATAAATACAGAGCTACTGTTCTATGGTTCAATTTTGAAGCTAAAATCAATAGAAAAATCACAGTGCCAAAGTGATGAGACTGATTTGCCAAATTTGCTTGGTCAGACAAGGAAAAATACAAGATGCATGAGACACTTGGGTTCTTTAGAAATTTCACTGGGGCAAAAAAACCTTTAGTAGTGGTTCTCAGCCTTTGGTTCTCCAAATTCTTTGGTCTTTAAACCCCAGGAACCCCGTAATGCATCACTAAATGTAAAGGTCTCTGTGAGCTTCAATTCCAAATATCTAGAAGAAGAGATCTTGAGGACCAACAACCAAGAACCCCTTCAAGTTGCACAGCTGGTAAATCACCAGCAGCAATAGATCACTGCCGACTGAAAGGCTGCCAGTTCAAAGCCTGGGTCGGGGTGAGTACCCGACTATCAGCTCAGCTCACTGTTCACTTAAGCAGTTTGAAAACAGCTTGAGAGCTGTAAGTAGAGAAATTAGATACCACTTAAAGGGGGGAGGTATTTTATGGCACCATAAAAGGAAATACCAGAAATACCAGAGACCAAAAAGGAAGAAGGAAGTCTGTGATGGCTCTTCGTCATAGAGGAAGGCGCGACAGCACCCCATTGTGGCCGGAATTGAGCACAACCTCCAGGGTGCCAAAGTTGGATGCCAACACAACAAATCTCTATCTGTCAGTTTCAACAGCATTGAATGTTTGCTGTGTATGTGTTCTGTGATCCGCCCTGAGTCCCCTTGGGGAGACAGGCTGGAATATATATAAAGTATATTATACTAGCTGTCCCCTGCCACGTGTTGCTGTGGCCCATTCTGTTGATCTGGAAAATAAAGTAATGAGAAAGTTTTGGTTTCCAATATACGTAATTTCTTTATGTTTGTGGGTAAACAGTATTTCTTGTTGTTTCTTTGTCAGTGTAGATGTGGAGAGTGTCTGGTTTGCCTACTCGGGAACATGCAAGATATCATTGTCCTTTTTAGGGGTCCCTTTCAAATCTATGATACTATATCTGTGTGTGTGTGAATCATATATATATCTATCAATATCTATGGTTAGATGGCTCTTTGTCAGGAGGGCTTTGATTATGTTTTCTTGCCCTGGTGAAGGGAGTTGGACTGCATGGACTTAAATATTTCCATGTGGGTTCTGTGTGGGAAGTTTGGCCCAATTCTGTCATTCGTGGAGTTAAGAATGCTCTTTGATTGTAGGTGAACTATAAATCCCAGCAACTACAACTCCCAAACGCCAAGGTCTATTTCCCTCAAACTCCATTTGTGTTCATATTTGGGTATATGGAATATTCGTGCCAAGTTTGGTCCAGACCCATCATTGTTCGAATCCACAGTGCTCTCTGGATGTAGGTGAACTACAACTCCCAAACTCAAGGTCAACACCCACCAAACCCATCTAGTGTTTTATTTTGGTCATGGGAGTTCTGTGTGCCAAGTTTGGCCCAATTCCATCATTGGTGGAGTTTAGAATGCTCTTCGCTTGTAGGTTAATTATAAATCCCAGCAACTACAACTCCCAAATGACAAAATCATACTTTTTTGAGTGATGGTCACTCCTTGGATTGTGAGGGGTTTTGTTGCCAAATCTGGGGTCATTTGGCCCCGGAGTTTTTTTGTTTTTAAGGTACTCATTACACACAGAGCATTTATATATATATAGATTATTAAGTACTGCACTCTTCAGCTACCATTTTGTTTAGTCATCGTCTCAAAATAACAAACTCACCTTCAAGATTTCATACATGTAAAACCGAATATCGTAGTCCGTTAACGTCTGATACAATTGCTGTGGAAAAGCAAAGATATCAACATCAACCATACTGCAGTCTGACAATTTCTAAATCAACATTTTGTGGTGACTGGAGAGAATTCATTGTTGTCATCAGTGTGGGTGTTACTGCCACCCAGTGGAACAAATATTTTGTCCACGGGAGTTAACCTGAACAGTGTGCCAAAATGCAAAATTATTTTTAATGTTCCACATTTATTTTTCAGAGATCTGCAAGGAGGTACAGGACTTCACACACTTTACAGAATCTCCCTCTCATTCATTCACCCATACATATCCACTTGTAATGCCATTAAATAACTTCTTCCCCACCCAAGCAAGTATATTTGCAGGTCACCGATAATCTGAAACCCTCCAAATACAGTGATGCTTCGTACCTTAAAGTCTGTGTTGTTTACATGTTCAAACACGAGAGCCGGGGTCCGAGACTAAAATAAGGAAAGAAATATGTCAGTCACTTTGGGCCCTTCATGTTGTTTTAAACACTGCCTAAAGAATCATTGCAAACTCCCATCCTTTCCCTTCCTTCAAGGTGTTTTTATAGTATCTTAGTTATTTTTACTGAATGGATTGGCACACGTTTCTAGGAGAAGGGAGGGGCAGAGGTTCCCGCAGGAGAAGCTAATCTGATTCAAAGGTTTGATCTGATTAAGGAATTCAAAAACAGGATTACGGGAGGGAAAGGAAAGAGAAACAAGGAGCGAGACTGTATGGCGTTATTGCTGCAAACCCACGATCAACAGATGCCCAAAATGCCAACAAGTCTCAAGTGCTTAAAGTTCTAGACATTCTCCTTGTGTGTCTTCATTTGAAATAACAAGGGAGCTTGTGTGTGTAAATAACTTGGTGCTTTCTCCCACTCCCACAGCTGAGAATTTGCTACTCTTTCATTCAGTCCTATGGAGATCTGTCATTCATAGGTCTGCCCACTCATACAGACAGAAGGCATTCGGCAACCCACAAGTAGAAGTGACACATAGCTCTGACACGTCAGAGCTCACATTCTCTAAGTGTGGCATCTACACCGTGCGTTTTTCATTCAGGGGATTCTGTTAACAAAAAAGATGCTACTAAACAGTTTAGAAGTGCTTTCATATTCACCAAGAAACTTGGAAAGGTAGCTGTGAGGGAACTAGAAAAACTTCTCAAACAGGAAAATGATCATCTATACTTGGGCGGTGATCGTGCCATCGCTGCCCAAGCAGGGAGCTTTGAAATAGTTGAAGTTCTCTGAAGCTTTAGATGCTGTTACTGCCTATTACAGGAAAAACCAGCTAATTCCTAATCCAACTAAAACACAGATGTGTGCTTTACACCTTAAAAACAGACAAGCATCTCGAGCTCTGAGGATCACCTGGGAAGGAAACCCACTGGAGCATTGCAGCACACCCAGATACTTGTAAGTTACCCTGGACCATGCTCTGACCTACAAGAAGTACAGCTTGACTATCAACCAAAAAGTGGGCGCTAAAAATAATATCATACAAAAGTTGACTGGCACAACCTGGGGATTATAACCAGACACAGTGAAGACATCTGCCCTTGTGCTTTGCTACTCTGCTGCTGAGTACGCATACCCAGTGTGGAATACATCTCACCACACTAAAACAGTGGATGTGGCTCTTAATGAGACATGCTGCATTATCACAGAATGTCTTATGCCCAACACCGCTGAAGAAATTATACTGTTTAGCCAGTATTGCGCCACCTGACATCCGCCGGGAAGTAGCAGCCAATAATGAAAGGACCACGGCAGTGATATCTCTGGTCCATCCCATTCAGGTATCAGCCAGCATGCCAACACTTTAAATCAAGGAATAGTTTCCTAAGATCTGCAGAGATACTCGCAGGAACACTTCAGCAAGCAAGAGTCCAAAAGTGGCAGGCTAAAACACGGGACCTCAAGCTACGGCTGATACCAAATGAGAGACTCCCTCCTGGGCACACAGAAGGCTGGGTGACTTGGAAGGCGCTGAACAGACTGTGCTCTGGCATCACAAGATGCAAACATAAGAAATGGGGGTACAAAGTGGAATCCACGGCATGAGTGTGAAGAAGAGCAAACCTACTACAATGCAGTCTGAGTCCTGCCACATGTATAATGGAGGACCTTCTTACAGCAACACGAGAGGCACTACAAGTGGCCAGCTACTGGTCAAATGATATTTAGTATAATACTAAGTTTTTAAACTTTGTGTTTTTAAATATAATAAATAAATAAATCTATGCATAGTATTTCCAATGTCTGTGTTTAGTTGTAAAACACTAAAGTGGAGAAAGTTCATATAAAAAGAATCTGCGCATTCCAAATGTGGTGCTTGTAGAGAGTTCTGTGGATGTCATGGGTTGTCAAAAAAGAGAAATAAAATGATCTGAGAGCAAAGAAAGGCTCCAGTCTTCCCCTAGAAACCAAAATGAATACACTGAACCTATCATACTTTGGGTAAATCATGAGATGATATGATTTATTAGCAATGATGGCAACAGTCAGCAAAAGGGAACTCAGCAGGACAAAAAGAAAATCACATTAGAGATATGATTAATTCTATCAAGGAAGCCAAGCTGCCCTGGGTTTGCAAGATTTAGGCTCCTGGGGGACTTTCATTCATTGGGCCGTTTGTAAGTCAAACTTGATTTGATGGCACATACAATTCTTGGCATGATTTGATGGTAGAAACACATGCACAAAACTATTTTTTTGTGCAGAGCCATACATGAAGATGTCACAAGTCTTCCCACCCTTTGCCCTAGAAATATATTGAATACCAACTCTCCGAATCCACCGGCCATCTAGGAATTGGTTCATTTTATTCTATTTATTAAACTATTTATATCCAGTCCTGTAAAATATGTCAGGGTGGTATATTACAGACCGGGCTTATCTAATTTAAACAACATACAGCAATAAGAATGTTAAGCAAAATTTAAAAAATTAGAAAAGTTAGAACAAGACAATTAAAATGAGATAAAACTGGTTTAAAAGAACATTAGAACCAAATAGTAGGTGCAGATTTAGACGAAGGTGCCTAGGTTCCAAAGTATTTAGCAGAAAGTTGTGTTGATATTTGGTGCAAGAGTTACACCACTGTTGGCACAAGTCAGACCTCTTAGGGAATGGTTTTCATAAAAGTCCTGTGCCCTTTTCTTTCACAGCATACTGCCCTCAAACTTGAGTTTTCGGGCAGGTATACATAAGGAGATGTGTTCCATCAAGTAAAAAGCTGAACTTTAAAACCAAACAGTTTTCTCTTTTTACTTTTATAATAATAATAATAATAATAATAATAATAATAGCTAACCCGCCCTATCTCCCCAAGTAGATTTTGTAAAATCTATTATTCAACCCAGTTATGACAAATCTTTCCCCATTCCCTTCCTCACCCCACAAACCTGGAGTTTCCCCCACATTTTGAAACCACTCACCACCGGGTCTTTCACTATATCAGCAAGAGTGATGATGTTGGGGCCGCCTCGTAAGTTCTCCAAGATCTTAATTTCACGCCTGATTTTCTTCTTTTTCACAGGCTGAATGACAAAAAAGGAAAGACCGGTTTAGGCAACACAATATTTGAAGGACAGAAAAGTTAAATAGCCTCTGACTGTCTGTCTATATGTGTTGTGTGTCTTTGGCATTGAATGTTTGCCATGTATGTGCACATTGTAATCCACCCTGAGTCCTCTGTGGGGTGAGAAGGGCGAAATATAAATATTGTAAATAAAATAAATAAATACATTTTATTATGTATTCTGTGATTTTATATTGTTGTGTGCTGCTCCAAGTCCCTGCGAGGGGAGGGAGCGGGATATAAATAAAGTTATTATTATAAATAATGCTATTATTATTGTGTGTGCATGCACAAGCACACTGGGATTAACTTTTATAGGCTTGATTATTTGCATATTTGATTGAGTGGTTTCTCTAGAAATTTCTAGGTCCTCTAGTGTGACTGTATGGTCAATGTCATGCTTTCCCCCACTTTTGCAGGGGTTTTGAGCCCCTAATAAATGTGGAGAGCTGACTGTATACACAGACATACAAAATTTAATGAGATATTTATTTATTTATTTAAATTTTTTAATTTATAACTTTTATATCCCGATTTTCTCACCTCTGTAGAGGGACTCAGACTAACTCAAATATTCCAAATGCCTCTCACTTTTGAGAGCAATGAGCAAAACAATGCCTTACTAGCATTAAACTTGCCCTCCATGTTTCCCCTAGTCCCTTTCCTAGATGTCCCAACAGTCATGGCAAGATCTTGTGAATCCCTACTATTAACTGTGTGGTCACTGAAGAAGTCCTTTTTTATCTTCCCCCTGTTTCATCAACAATTTATTATTTAGGTTACAAAGAACCATTCAAATTCTTCACCACCCTTAGGGATTTGGATCATGCAGTGCTTGAAAACAAGGAGAAATTCCAAAACAGTTTTGCCGTATAGGACAGAGGATTACTGTTTGAGAGACTAAAAGCCCAAATATCCATGTCCAAGCCCTTGGGACCCTCTCAGGAGGTCCCCTGGATCTAAGCCAAAAATTAACAAACATAATATTACTTGCAATATCAATTCACTTTCCTCAACCCGGCACTCCAAATGTGTTGGACTATAGCCCCAGCCTCAGTTGGAATAGCCATACTGCCTGGGAATGGCAAGAGTTGAGGTTTACTTTCTACGGGGTGCCAGATTTGGGGGTGGCTGATATAAAGACTTAGCCAAGTGGCAAATGTTACACCTCTAGCTGGGACAGCTGTCCTGTCTGGGGGGAATTAAGCCATGCCACCTGTTTTACCATCTGCTTTGGCCTGGGTAAAAAGCCAAGCTAAAGGGAAAAAATCTCCCCACACAACTAGTGTCTGTCCATCCCTTTGTGGTTGGCTCTCGCCTATAATCTGGGCTGCCCTGCATCTACCACAAAAACCTGCTGCTCAGAAGTGTGAACTGAGATTTGGTGTCCATGTCTTTATTTTGATTACACCCACACATGAAAATCTCAAAGGATATTTCATGATCTTCTTAGTTCCATTGCTACAACACTTCTCTATCTATATAAATAAAAATGTAATGTTTGTGGGATTCACTCAAAAACCACTGGACGAATTGACACCAAATTTGGACACAATACACCTATCAGGCCAATAAATGACCATCACTCATAAAAACACTGAAAAACACAGCAGAAGAAACTTAAAAAGCCAAAAAATAAAAACACATTACAACGCATGTGCAAAACCACAAATATATACGCAAACACACATATACACAGACTGGACCACAGCAACGTGTGGTAGGGGACAGCTAGTGTCTTCCTAAATCTGAATCTAAATCAGCATTTCTCAACCTGGGGTTGGGTCGCAAGGGAGTATCAGAGGGGTCACCAAAGGCCATCAGAAAACACAGCATTTTCTGATGGTCATGGGGGTTCTGTGTGGAAAGATTTGCCCAATTTTATAGTTGGTGGGGTTCAGAGTGCTCTTTGATAGTAGGTGAACTATAAATCCCAGAAACTACGACTCCCAAATGTAAAGATCGATTTTCCCAAACTCCACCAATGTTCACATTTGGGCATATTGAGGATTGGTGCCAAGTTTGGTCCAGATCTATCATTGTTTGAGTCCACAGTGCTCTCTAGATGTAGGTGAACTACAACTACAACTCCAAAACTCAAGGTAAATGCCCACTAAACAGTTCCAGTATTTTCTGTTGATCACGAGAATTCTGTGTGTCAAGGTTGGTTCAATTCCATCGTTGGTGGAGTTAATAATAATAATAATAATAATAATAACAACAACAACAACAACAACAACTTTATTTGTACCCCGCTACCATCTCCGCAAGGGACTCGGTGTGGCTTACATGAGGCCACAGCACATCAATAAACAAAAGCAGTAACAATAATCAATACAAAACAGTTAAAATAAACTCAAAACAGAAAATATACAATAAGCAATAACAATATCAAAACATACAACATTTAAAAACCTAGAATGCTCTTTGATTGTAGGTGAACTATAAATCCCAGCAACTACAACTCCCAAATGACAAAATCAACACACACACCCCAACCCCACCAGTATTCAAATGTGGATGTATTGGGTATTTGTGCCAAATTTGGTCCAGTGAATGAAAATACATCCTGCATATCAGGTATTGACATGACGATTCATAACAGTAGCAAAGTGAGAGTTATGAAGTAGCAACGATAATAATATTATGGTTGGGGGTCACCACAACACGAGGAACTGTTTTAAGGGGTCGCGACATTAAGAAGGTTGAGAACTACAGATTTAAATCTTCAATTCACATAAGGAACAGCACTCTCCCCAGACCTTTTTACAGCCATTTTACTCTTACATATCTTTCACAACCACTAAGAAAGAAAAAGATGCTCAAATAAATACATATATTTGCAATATTGGAGGGCAGACAGAAAAATTGTATAAGGCAGCATCATTGGAGACATACTCCAGAGAACAAATCAAGCTACAGCGGGCAAGTTTCAATCTAGATGGTATCTGAAATATTCTGATTGGGTAGAATCCATCAGTTTGGAGTCGTAAGCTGCACATGACACTTTATTAGCGAAAAAGGAGCTGGCTGGAAAGAGCCAGATTTGCAGTTAAGAAAGCCATCACAAAGCAAAAACTGGGAGATAAAGAAATGCATTTCCAGCAAGCAGTATTACCTCTACTGAGGAAATAATATAGGGTACCTGAGTAAATCAATCGCCCATCAAACAAGATACTTCTAGATACTTGTCAGTGATACTGCGTAGAATGTGAATTCTGAAACCTGTTCGTTGCAAGAGCAGGGAGCAGGGGCACACAAAACACCCCCAAAGGTAGGAATGCTCAACTTTTAAACCAGGCACACAGACTTGAGAGGCGGAAACGGAAAATAATGTATTGAGATCTCAGTATGCTTCGAACATATAAATGTTATGAAGTGTCTATACTACAAGGTAAAGATTAAGTCTTACTCAACATTCAGACAACAGAACATTATAAAACCCAGTCTCAAGAATCCAACAAACTGAGGGGCTTCAGAAACTATTGTATATATTGAAATATAAGCCGTCCCAAATATAAACCAAGACACCTAATTTTGTCGAAGGCTTTCATGGACGGAATTACTGGGTTGTTGTAGGCTTTTCGGGCTATATGGCCATGTTCTAGAAGCATTTCTCCTGACGCTTTGCCTGCATCTATGGCAAGCATCCTCAGAGTTAGAGAGGTCTGTTGGAACTAGGAAAAAGGGTTTATATATCTGTGGAATGACCAGGGTGAGACAAAGGACTCTTGTCTGCTGGAACTTTTTCCTAGTTCCAACAGACCTCACTACCTCTGAGGATGCTTGCCATAGATGCAGGCGAAACGTCAGGAGAAATGCCTCTAGAACATGGCCATATAGCCCGAAAAAACCTACAACAACACCTAATTTTACCACAAAAAACTGGGTAAACATATTGACTTGAGTATAAGCCGAGGGTGGGAAATGCAGCAGCTACTGGTAAATTTCAAAATAAAAATAAATACCAATAAAATTACTTTAATTGAGGCATCCATAGGTTAAATGTTTTTGAATATTTACATAAAACGGTAATTTCAGACTGTCCAACTTTGATTAAACCATTATTCTAACCTCCATCAATGTAAATGTGCTTACGTATCCTTCCAATAATAATAGAGTAAAATAAAAAAAATGTAATAGTAACAATAACAGAGTAAAATAATATATGTAGTAATAATAGAATCAAATAATAAATGTAAAAATAATAGAGAAAAATAATACATGTGATAACAATAATAATATAGTAAAATAATACATGCAATAACAAAAATAATAGCATAAAAATACATGTAATAACAAAAATAATAGAGTAAAATAATAAATGTAATAACTACTACTACTACTACTACTACTCCCCCCGAGGGGACTCAGGGCGGTTTCCAGCATGGTAAAGCACTGCAATTACTGACATAGGATCATATAGAAATCATCATAAATATAAACATAGTAGTGTATAACAGTCATACATATTAAAAATTTACAAACCAGTTTGGTGCTAATTACATCCAACAGCTCAAATCCCAATGGCCAAGATTCCAAAGGGGGGCTCGACGACTACGAAAGGGCTGGGCTTGTACGACAAGGTGGACTAGGGCCCGGAAGTGGATGAAGTGCAAGCATGGCCTATCTGATGGTCAGGGTGGGACCTGGAGCTATTTATTTCCAAGGCCTGCTGCGTAAGCACAAGGGGACTAGGCCAATGAAGAAGCATAGGGCCAGGAAAATGGGTAAAGTGGATAAGAAGGCCCTAACTTATGGCCAGGGTGGTGCTTGAGGCTTGTCATTTCCAAGGCCTGCTGAATAACTATAGTAGGGCTAGACCAGAGATAGTAGCAAAGAGCGGGGAAAGTGTGTAGGGTGCAGAGCAGGGACCTAATTAATGGCCAGGATAAGGCCTGGGGCTAATCATTTCCAAAAGCCTGCTGGTTTTCAAGTACTTGCGGAAGGAGGCTAGTGATGGGGCTTGTCTTATCTCTCTGGGGAGGGCGTTCAAGAGGCAGGGGGCCACCACCAAGAAGGCCCTCTCCCTCATCCCCACAAGCCACACTTCTGGGACCTCCCTGGTAATAAATATAATAGAGAAAAATAATAAATGTAATGATAATAGAGCTTTTTTTTTTTTTTTTGGTTGTGTCAAGAGTGACTCCTGGTGTGAGAGAATTGGCCATCTGCAAGGATGATTTTGATGTTTTTATCATCCTTTTGGGAGGCTTCTCTCATGTCCCCGCATGAGGAGCTGGAGCTGATAGAGGGAGCTCATCCGCCTCTCCCTGGATTCGAACCTGCGACCTGTCGGTCTTCAGTCCTGCCAGCACAGGGGTTTAACCAACTGCGCCACCGGAGCTCCAATGATAATAGAGTAAAATAATAAATGTAATACAAATAAAATAGAGTAAAATAATAAATGTAATCAAAATAATAATAACAATAGAGTAAAATAATAAATAACTTTGACTTGAGTATGGGGGGATTTTTCAGCCTTAAAAAAAGTATGAAAAACTCAGCTTATACTTAAGTATATACGGTAACTAAAAAGGTTCCCAAATATCCAAACTGCTAAAAACAGGGTATCAATTCCCAATTCACACAAAATTCTAACCCACACACCCATGCTTATAATTAGGTTGGGGAAAATCGAAACCTGCTGGCTCCAGTAGAACTTAGAATAGTTATTTTTGGACAGTCTTTAACATCTGAGAGCTGGGATGTTTTCCAATTCTGCCCCCCCCCTCCCCAAATTGCCTCAGTGCCTGTCATTGCCACTGTCGAGTTTATTTATTTATTTACTACGCTTCTAGTAAATAAGTGTCTCTGAGTCCTGTTTACTTTGCTTTAATAAACTATTAAAGCAGGGCTTCTAGTAAATATTTATTTACTATTCTTCTAGCTGAAGTTAGCTTCTTCAGCTGGAAAGCTAGAAACCTGCAAAACCAGTGGTTCTCAACCTGTGGGTCCCCAGATGTTTTGGTCTTCAACTCCCAGAAATCCTAACAGCTGGTAAACTGACTGGGATTTGTGGGAGTTGTAGGCCAAAACACCTGGGGACCCACAGGTTGAGAACCATTGTGCTAAACTTTATTCTCAAACAAATAAGCAGACAAGGAGAGCTGCAAAGATGGATGGTAAGGTTGTGGCAGAACCAAAATGCACATCTGGTCCCAAGATTCTAATCACAAAAAGGGACTAAAATAATAGAATGGAATCAAATTCAAGGTAGGAAGGCAGGCAGGCCATAAGAGAGCCAGACAGATCTCCTCTGGCATTAACCATCAGGCTCACCTTCAGAATCTTCACGACTACCTTCTCATTATTTGTTATGTTGATAGCTTCAAAGACTTCACTATATTTGCCTCGGCCAAGTTTCCGGACCAGCTGGTAATCGTCTTGATTGCTGTAAAGAGAAACCGAGTAAAGGGGTGTTAATAGTATGCAAAAGAACCACACCATGCACCAGGCCTGAGCAAACTTTGGCCCTCCAGATGTTTTGGACTTCAACTCCCACAATTCCTAACAGCCGGTAGGCTGTTAGGAATTATGGGAGTTGAAGTCCAAAACATCTGGAGGGCCAAAGTTTGCTCAGGCCTGCCATACCCTATTCCCAAGAGACATACAAACACATATGTGACCCTTATACATGTGGATATGCTTTTCAATGACTACAGGAGTTGACATTCCTTGTTTTTCCATGCAGCACCCATAGCCCCATATGAGCATTTTGCTTCCATTTGGGAAGACAGGATTGGAAAACTATCTGGCAATCTTCAACCTTCCTAGCCAGATGCACAGTAATTACAGAAATGCTGAGACCTCCAAAAGACCTCAGGATCTCAGCATGGATGTCATCACTATGCATATGATGTCCTGCCAGCTCACATTCAAACACAGAAAGCCTGTGTGAGGTGGGTTCGAGGCTTTAAAGTTAGTCTGGGTGTATATGATATACATAATAACACAGGATGTTCAACTGATGACAATGAATGTCTAAGCTATGTACTGTCAAAGGCTTTCATGGCTGGAATCACTGGGTTGTTGTAGGTTTTTCAGGCTACGTGGCCATGTTCTAGAAACATTCTCTCCTGACGTTTCATCTGCATCTATGGCAAGCATCCTCAGTGGTTGTGAGGCCAACCTCACAATCTCTGAGGATGCTTGCTACAGATGCAGGTGAAATGTCAGGAGAGAATGCTTCTAGAATATGGCCATATAGCCTGAAAAACCTGCAACAACCCAATGTCTAAGCTATTCTGTAACCAGCTGGCAAATTTCATGCAAAGTTAAGCAGATTTTAATGTTTATCAGGAATATTTTGCCCCACTTCCACAAAGATAAGTCAGATGTTTTGTTCAATTTTCATTTATTTTTAGAGATCACAATATCAAATTTCTTTCTGCCTTCTCGCATGGTCAAAATTTAGACCAAAATCTGTCCAGAGCAGACTGTACTCTTTTTTTATAATGTCCACTCTTCTATATAGTGCCGTGTATATTAAGAATATAATGCAATCTGAGTACCCCTTATCCAAAATGCTTGGGACCAGAAGTGTTTTGGATTTTTTCATAATTTGGAATACCTGTATTATTGTATACACACAATAAGATATATTGGAGTTGGGCCTCAAGTCTAAACACAAACTTCATTTACGTTTCACACACACCCTATAGACAAACCCTGAAAGTAATTTTATGCAATATTTTAAATAATTTTGTGCATGAAACAAAGATTGTGAATACCGAACTATCAAAAAGCAAAGGTGTCATGATTTCAGTCACCAATGTGGACCATTCTGGATTCCATATGATTTCACATAAAGAATGTTCAACCTGGATTTTTAAAAAATGATCTGATAATAATAGGGCACATTCAAACTGAGCAAGCACACTGGCAAGCTTATGCTAGTACTGACCACTGTGCCAAACAACAGCTCTCTAGAGATTCAAGAAGGCCTGTTAGAGAGATTATTTCAAAAGAAATGCTAGCAACTGGATCAATAGGTTTCCGCATGAAATGTGCATGACCTGATAATGATCTACAGGTCCTTAGAAAAACGTTTCTCACTGTCTCACGTACTCTCTGGCATTCTTTCACTAAAACATCCCAGGTTGTCTGCAACAGACTGTCAGGTGAATTGTGCAAGTTGTTTGTTTTAACAAGTGAGGTAAACAGCATTTTACAATTACAAATGCCATAAAAATACTTACCCCCATTCAACTTCGTGTGCTTCATAATCCCAATATTCTCGTGGTCTGTGTGTATTTACATCTGTGTAAACTCTGGCCCTGCTTGGCACAGGTCCTGACATTTTGGAAAGATTGGAGGATCAAGGTATGTTACAGAACTTCCGATTTCAGTGCAAGCCACAGGAGAGGGTCGTAGGCAGAACTTTGGAGCTTTTCAACTGTGAAAACAAAAGTGCATCCATTTTTTAAAAGACTTCAACAGTCAATGAAATAGGTTGCACAGTTCAGCGATTTCTACTGAAACAGGTAATTCCAGAAAGTGGTGTAAGATTTTCATAGCTGCAGAGTGTAACTTACAGCTGTGTATGAGTCCAAACCCTTTCTGCTAACCTCAACAGCATCTCCATTCTTTTTCAGAGTAGGGTCAATAACTGTTTCGGCACAACACCAAGGAAGCACATCACATACATCTATTAATACCAATATCTCATTATAGATCTGAACACAGGTTTCATCTAAAGGGGTATACGTGAGGAATTGAAAAGACAGCATAAACAGTACAGAAACTGCTCAGAGGCAAGGCTTTCCAATAGATATGCTCTAAATATCTGAATGTTCCTTCTACAACATTTACTTTGAGAAGCATTTTTAGATGTACAGATCATTTTACATGAACACTGATCTCTACATTCATTATTAAATGGCCATTTTGTACAAATACTACTTTATCCTTGAACAGAAAGATGTACTGTGAAAAAGAGGCACAAGCTTTTCTGCGCTTCTCAACTGGAAGGTTGCCTGTTATTGAATTCTCAGCAAAAAGCGAGTCTGTAAAGATGTATGGAAGGACAGGACAACCTCACTTCCACCTGAATATTTCTCATCTTAGGTTACACTAATTAGGTTTTCCCTTTTGCTGAATAAGGAAGCATGGAGTGCTAATCGTCTACTTTGGAGCAAAAAAGGGAGAAAGAACAAAGATTCTCCATCCCACTCTCATTCCATCCAATTTGTGGGAAAGCAGCCCAGGAAGTATAACTGGGAATTCACTAAATAGAAGAAACTACTTTACTCAGAATCAGATGTCCATGCCCAGAAATATAAGTTGCCTTGGTCTGAAGCTTTCAGATCATCCCCTAGCTGAGTCTATACCAGCATTTCTCAACCTGGGGGTCGAGGCCCGGGGGGGGGGGGGGGTCGGGTTGTGAGAGGGTTTCAGAGGGGTCGCCAAAGACATCAGAAAACATATTTTTGATGGTCTTAGGAACCCCTTTTGCAGAGAAGGCTGAAGATCTCTCCGCCTGCCCTTCTCTTCCTTTTTGGAAACAGACAGCAAATCCTCCCAGCAAAAGCCCTCCTCCACTGTGATTGGCTGGCCGCTCAGCTGGCCTCTCACCCAAGGGGAGGGCTGTTTCTGAGACTCCAAGTGGAGAGGGGAGAGCAGGCGTGCTTGGTGCATGGCAGAGTGGTGCACATGTGCTGGCGAGGGAGAGCGTGCAAGGCTGGAGGGAGGCTCGCACCAGCGAGTCCCTTCAAAGCATGGTCTATTTTCCACAACTCCACCAGTGTTCACATTTGGGCATATTGAGTATCTGTGCCAAGTTTGATCTATCATTGTTTGAGTCCACAGTGCTCTCTGCTGGATGTAGGTGAACTACAACTCCAAACTCAAGGTCAATGCCCACCAAACTCTTCCAGTATTTTCTGTTGGTCATGGGAGTTCTGTGTGCCAAGTTTGGTTCAATTCCATCATTTGGTGGAGTTCAGAATGCTCTTTGATTGCAAGTGAACTATAAATCCCAGCAACCACAATTCCCAAATGACAAAAACAATCCCTCCCCAACCCCACCAGCATTCAAATTTGGTCATATCAGGTATTTGTGCCAAATTTGGTCCAGTGAATGAAAATACATCCTGCATATCAGATGTTTATATTACGATTCATAATAGTAGCAAAATTACAGTTATGAAGTAGTAATTAAATTAATTTTATTGTTGGTGGTCACCACAACAAGAGGAACTATATTAAACGGTTGCAGCATTAGGAATGGTGAGAATTACTGGTCTATACCATCTAACAAATGACTCCTCATGATTTCATAAAATACTTCTTCATCCCCACCTGGAGGTGGCAAAGACTGAAAGTGGGGCCATAACTGAAAGCATCTCTGTAGTAGGACTAAAGGCACACCTAGCAACCTCTTCCCCATGGAAGGCACTCCAATGCCCTCTGGAACCTATCAACTCAAGTGTGCCATTGTGTAGGATGATTGTTTTTAGAGAAGTGTTTCTAGTCATGCTAAAGCCTAGGTAATCTCAAAGCTAATTGTGATGGAGAGAAGGAGAAAAGACACCTTGATTTGCCTGCTACGGTAGGTACACACTTGAGATATATAAATATCACTGGAGAACTCAACAAAAAAAGCTCCACAGAAGATTGACTGATACTATTCAAAGAAACTAAGAAGCATTCTGTAGAATCTTTCTTATGTCATGTGGCTTGAACGCAGGCAGATAGTACACAAACAGAGATGTTTGCAGAGCGTTCCTTCTTTTATATCTCCCAGCAATGGCAACTACCCAAGTCGGACACTCCCTGCCCCCACAAAGATAAAGGCATACATTTATCACTAAGAAAGCAAAAGGGAGAAAGCCTGTAATTCTGCAATGTTTGGCCCCATGTGATCTCAGCAAACAACCTTTGCCTATATTTAGACATTACCTTTCTTTAGCTACATAACCATTTTGAAAATTAACCAAGGCTCAGAGACCAAACACCCAACAATATGTGATGTTCAAAATGTATTTGCAGTTTTTTTTTTTAAAAAAATGCAACTGCAACTTAATTCTAGGGGCAAGCTGCAGATGGTTGGAATGGAGGGTATTTTTCACACTCCTTCCACGCGTGATCTAGATCTGAGTTGGAGCAGATGGCTGCTATTTTAACAGAAATGATACATGCACAAGGACATCCTATTGGTGTCATAAACACATATAAATTACTTCCAACTTACACCTGTTTGTCTTTTTTTAGTCCATGTGGAGGCAGGAATTCTCTTCCTGTCTCCATAATACCCACTACGCACAAGATTCGCAATTTAATTGCTATCAGTCACTGAATGGCCAACAAGGAGGATCAGAGAAGCAAGGAAGAACAGAGAAGCATCTGGCTATGTCCCTGACAGATGATGTCACTAGTCTGCATCTGGCAACAGGGCACAGCCACAACTTCTCTAATTCTCCCTTTGGGCACCAAAGACAAGAGCAAAGCCATGGTGTAGTTATGCTACCCCTGCTTCTTGGCACTGGATGGACCACAAGGTTTCTTCCAACTCTATGATTCCATGAAACCTTTATGCTACGTTCTTTGACACAGGAACTAAGCTGCAAATAAAGAGGGCCATAGTCCCAATCCCAACTCACAATTAACCTTAGGCCTGTTTCTGCCTTCATCATGTTTGAGATGCAAATGAGCAACAGCAACACCAGAGGAAAGATACCAATACAACCTCTATGTTACTAGCAAGCAACTTATATCCCTTGGAATATATATACTTGGCATTTTGTATTTTTTCTTTGTATATAAAGTCAGTCCTCCACACTTATAGTGTTGACTTTTGTGAATCTGATAATCCACAGATCTGATTAAAATGTTCTCTCTAGGAATTTCCTCCAGTGTGATTCCATGCTCAGTGTCCAGTTGTCCACAGAGTCATGCTGAAGGAGCTAGAAATTCCTAGAGGTGTGATTTCAGGTGAAAAAAATGACTGAGATTTATATAATATCAATAGGCAAGAAACACAATTAAAAATAGCTACCCCCCCCCCCCTCGGGTTTTTATTTTCACAAGGGTCCTGCACCTCCAAACCCAGCAAATGTGGAGGGCTGATTATAGAAATTCAGGGCTGCTGAAACTCTACAAAAGGGTGGCATACTATACTACTGTCATGTGCCATACATCAGATTAGTGTTAAAATGTGCTAGAAAACACGATTCACTGCCAAAATTGGAGCTACTGCCAGACTACAGGCATGTACAACACATCTAACTAGATGCAGAACCTGCAGCCACAACCAGCCAGAGACCTGTTGTAATTAAGAACTCCTGTCTTTTGAAATTAAACTAATAGTCAGCCCTTTGTATCCATGCATTCTGCATTTATAGATTCAACTATCCATGGCTTGAAAAAATATTTTTAAATCCAGACAACTAACCTTGATATTGCCATTTTATGTAAGAGACACTATTTGAGTACAAAAGTGTATAAAATAATATAGGAATATCCACATTATGTTGACATCTGCAGGGGTTTTTGGGACCAGTTGGATTAGTAAATCCAATCAGGTGGAACAACTGGTAGCTGTCAAGATGTTATCAGATTGTGCTCTTATCACCCCTGTTGACTGCTATGTTTGTATTAACCTTTGGGGCCTTCATGAGAATGACTACATTTGTTCTGAATTTGTTCAACTCTCTGATTGTAAATATTTATGATCAACTAATCACAAGCATTTATTTCCAATTTCACAAAGAATACTGTGCCCTGTTAACTTACTTTTGGAAGCACTTAAGCCTCCCAACAGCTTGCCCTGAAAAGACTTAATGATAATCTATAGAGATATAAGGAAAAATATGTTCGGAAATAAAAATACAATAGAAAGTATTGTGTATATGATTAATCTCTTAAAACACAGTCATATAACTAAACAAAAATCATAAACAGATATGCAGCACTCTATTATTAGTAATATAGAATACATTCTGTATTACTCAACACCAGCTTTGAATTGTTTGCCATGTGGTTTTGTCTAGAGAAAGCCAATTTAGTGTTGGAACAGTATAACATTAATTAATCGCTCTGCGTAAGGCTGCCCTTAAGGGTGATTCAGAAACTTCCAAAAGCAGCAGTAAGGATATCTACTGAAAAGAATGAGCCAGAATTGGTTCGACATTTTTTCTGTCATTTCAGGTATTCACACACTACCTCACAGTCCCTCAAAGGCTGCTGAAGCAAGACCACAACACATATAACCAATTAAAGCAAAATACATCAAAAACGAATATGAATTTCCTAAACCTTTTAAAACAGTGTAAACAACTCAACATGGGGATGGACTTTTAGACAATGAGCAATCTTCCTCTTCCCACCTTTTTCCTTAAAAGAAAACCAATGGGATAAGAAAGCTACAACTCAAGCGGAGAATGGTAAACTCCAGCA